ATTAGAGTATTGATATACATGCTTTTTTAACCTAGCATGGAATCTCCATGCACTCGATTCGCCACTGCCACTCCAAGTCAACTGAATGCCTGCTGAAGTTCTCGCCAACTCCCCTCGCCATTGCCACCATCTCCATGGCTTTACCTATGTAGATCTATGGGTCACATTAAACAATGTGGAAGCCTACGAGTCTACTTTGAACTGGAGTTATATTGTCAAGGTCTGGTGCCGCCACTGCGGGTCTTGCGACCTGCACCAACTTGGCCACTCTCTTTCACTTTGGTGGCTGCTTTCCCCAGACGGACCGGCTTCAGCTTGGTTTCTCCCTTGTCCTTGACCTCCGGGGTCTGAGGCAGAGCTCGTCTTCGCTTTGCGGGAGGCTTGTCACCATCATCCGAGTCCTCGGCCCTCGCATTCTTCTTCCTCGGCGAGGCCACTACTAACTCGTCCCGAGTACCACGTCCACGCTTCCGAGGTGGCGGATTGTCTTCGCCAGAGCTGTCTTCGCCATCGGGCTCGGGACGTGCTGGTTGACGTTTCCGCTTTGGATCAGGAAGCTTCTTCAAATCCTTCACAGCTCCTAGTGGATGCTGACTGCGGGTATTCTTGGCGGGCGACTCATCCATCGCTTGATGCTGACTGCGAGTGATCCTGCCGGGGATATTACTCTGAAGGGCATTGGTGATCGACCTTCCCTGGAGCGCTTTGGCTTGACCTGACGGACGGTCTTCCGTGGCTGCGGCCTTCCTCGTCTTAGGTATAAACGGAGGCGGTGATGGTCATTCAGCACCACTGCTAGGTATGGACAAGTGTGCATCGTCCTCTTCGCCATCGTCAGAGGCCCCACCACTGGTCTCCTGGCTCGGCCCTTCATCTCCTCCACTTGGAATGATTGGTTTGTCAGCCATGGGGGCAGGCTGGTGAGCCTTGTGAACTTTGGCAGCAGTAGCAGCACCATCGTGAGTTCTTGCAGAGGCATCACCTTCCTGCTCCTCCTGGCCCCCAAGGCCATCGCCACCTTGTGGGGCACTGCGTATGGCAGGCTTGCTCACTGGCTTCACCATGGCATGGGTGACGTTCCCTTCCACCATGTCCAAGGTAATGATCTTGCAACAGCGAAGCAGCTGCTCTACTGTGTCAAATGAGATCGCCGAGTTCACCATATAGTCAGGAAGGTTGGTCGGTTCGCCCTCCTCAATGAACTGAGATCATGTGAGGTCCCTCAGCACCATACCAATCACGAGTGCAGATTGTTGTACGCCCTGTGGATGTAAGAACCGATATTTTGTCAGCCATGGTTTGTCGCCCAACCAGTTCTCGACGATGTCAAAGTTGTCCACCGCATGAAATGACGGCGGGAGGTAGCGCTGGCCATACGACCATTCGCTCCAGGGAATCGGATCATACCTGGCGAAACGATACACCTGGGGCTATATGACGGATGATCAATAGTGTATATGAATCCCCACGAAAGGAGCTCACCACAGTTGCAATCTTGACTTGCTTCAGCATATCCTGGTATCGCGGTTCGACGGAAAGGGTGGCGAGAAACACGTCTCTCCTTTTGACAAGGTGGGGCACAGTACTCCCCACAGTACTCCCGCCAGTGAGACGTGGGGCTCGGCCTTGAAGCTCAAGCCTGAGCTCCTTTGTACTGGGCTCCAGTTCACTCCATGCTTCATCGGTCTCCTCTGTGTCAAATCTGTGCAGTTCGCCCAGAGGAAGGTCTTGGAGACCTCGCTTTGCCTTCGTCTTGGCACCGCCGCTACCACTCGCTTGAGGTGCACCGCCATTGTTAGCCTTACGTCCATTGGTGGTGGCGACTGCCTTGCCCTTCGCTTTATTCGCAATCACGCTCTCGCCATCCCCTGAATCTTCATCGCTGGCCGTATCTTCTTCGGAAGCCATGCTGGGTATATCTGGCGAACTCCGATCAGAGTCTTGGCTGCTTCTGGCATCATCTTCCGAGTCGTATGCATCTTTCGTCTTGCGTTTACGCCCACCACCTTTGGCTCCGCCAGGGGCCGCTTTGCCCTTTGTCGCCTTCGATGCCGCCTTTCCCGTGACCTTGCGCACAGGTTTACCCTTCTTCTTCGCCTTCCCCGCCTTCTTCGGTGTGAGTGCTTCTTGGACCTCATGTTCAGATCCTTCTTCTAATGCCTGTGCTGATCCGTCAAGTGGTGGAAGAGGATCATACTTGGCGGGAGCAGCTTCGCCATCCTTGTCGAAGTACTGGGTGAATCGCATGGTCTGCTCAGGTCCATGTTCCTCTTGGCGTGCCCGCCAGTGGTCGAGGAGGGCACGAACGGGAACACTTGTCATCTTTGAGGGATCGATCCACTGGAAGTTCTCAGGTAGCATCTCCGCTGGAATAACCTCATTGATGTCGTCTATGCTGTTCAGCTTTGTCCATGGCGACTTGCAGTTCCGAACACCCTTCGCCAATGCTGTAAACTGGTCAGCATCTCTCAACATCGAGTGGGAGTGTCATACCGTAGTGATGATTCATGAAGTCTCGAACTTGTACCTTCATCACCTTGAGAGGCGCTTCCGCCATACCTTCGGGCACCGACGGGAGCAGAGGAAAACCGTTGGCCGTCAACTGAATCTTGTCCATGGCCCGCATGCAATTGGCAGGTGTCTTCTTCACCGTCACCGTAGTCTCAGTCACACCTAAGGAATCAGGTCAGTGTGCCAGCGACAATGCAACTGAGGTCTTCTTACCGTATTCGCCTTTGGCCCACTCAGAGAACACCTTTGCTAGAGGCTGGTAAGCACGCAGCCACCCAGGATAGGCCCCGAATGGAGTTCCATTGGTGATGGCGTGGTTGACCTCCACCCTTCACTCGGGGGTTAGCAGATGGCGACAGTCGGACGGTCTACGCTCACATCTCTACCTTCAGACTCCCCGCTTCCTTCGGATATGCTAGCATGAATGCCATGCGAATGCCCATGGTGTCCCACATAGTCTTGGCAAACTTCTTCAGATATTGCATCATTCGCTGCTCCCTCAGCCTGTCTTAGGTCAGGATTTGCCTTATGCTACGTGACAGGAGGTACGCACTTCATTTTCGTCTTATCATCCAGAGTGCCATTGCGCCAACTTTCCGCCTTTTCCTCATACACCTTCTGCTCCTCCTCGGACAGTTTTGCCCATTCGGCACTCCGTGCGACTCTCCACACCTTGGAGACATTGCAACCCTTATCTGTCGCGAGTGCTCGTGCGGCCTCAGTCACCTTGTCCCTCTCCAGCGCATCCCACACCTTGAAGGCATTGGGCTTGCCAGAAACATGCATACGCTTTTTCGTCGCTTTCTCCTGCGCATGGCGGGCGTGGTTATTGAGCCACTCTCGGATTTTCTGCGGTGAGAGTTAGTGGGGACCTCACAGACATGAAACACTGCTCACAGTTTCCACAATGATGTCGTCATAATTTGACGCATCGACAAACTGTGTCTTCAGCTTCTGGCGCAAGCTCTGAACCAGAGTCTTGCGTCCCTTGGCATCTGCCGTGTCATAAGACCGCAGCTTCTCAGAGAGTATGGGCTGATGCTCCGTCAAAATTACAAATCTCGCCGGCATGCTTTCTCGATGTCGAGGATGAGATTTTTGTGTTGGGGCAGTGAAGGGGGTCGATAGTTCAACGGGCAGCGCTCTGTCCATTTCCTCGTCGGCCGCCCACAACTCAACATGCACGTGCTGATGGCCCATTTGGGCTTACACCAATTACCCTCCTCGCCATGGTGTGTGGTGACTGCTGAAGCATTGTATGTGTATTTTTCGCAGTGGCGGGAGGTGGTAGTAGGTATGCACTAGCATTCATGCCTGGTGAAAGGTAATGTTGAATGCCGCTTCTATGGCAGAGCACACCACGCCAACTTCATCTCGCGAATGCTGGGCGGAGGCAATCTGGCGATCATCTGCATGCCAATCTGTGGGATAAAGGGCTTCCTCGGAGTTAGGCTCGGCCAATTAGATGGCGGTGACGAAGGGCCCAGACATGGCGGACCACCCGGCCCGTGATCCGGCATGGCGGCATCAAGTCCGGCTCGGCGGCATGATGAACATGTGAGATGTGCAAGGGACGTGCTTGCAAGCAATATGCAGGCAGATGAATGCATACTGTTCTTTGCCATTCTGGCCCCTCCTACATTCTTCCCTGCATCTGCAAGCCAACCGCCTGAGCCCGCCATACACCTGTGCGTTCCTTCAACCGATGCATGCTGTAATCGTCCCATTGATTGGCAGACAGTATCAAGATGAGCAATCTGTCACCCATGCCACTGACCGATCAGATAGCAGGAGTCTTGGAGCTCATGTTCCGCCGAAAGCTCCATCTGGCCGCTCATGCAGCCCATTCTGCGCCATCTATAGAAGTGCCTCCATCCATGCCATCCACCCTCCTATTGGAGTGCAATGGCATTGCAGATGCTCTTGTGAAGGCCATCCGTAATCCTGGTAGTCATTAGTCTTGCCGCAGGTCTGATCACACTGATCACGCCATTGTAATAGTAAGGCTGCAGTGGGACATTGATAGATATTGTGACAGCCTTTCAATTCAGCCCACGGGGCAGAATGAAGTCCTCGAGGCAGAACTGGAATGGAAGTGGCCTTCTCCATTTGGTGAGAGCGAAATACGCATAGACCAGCCCGCCACCCTCGTGGACATGCACAGACGCATCTTGGCTTAGATACTTCTAAGAGTGTTGATACCAGACCGCCAGGTGAGTGGCTTGCCCAGCCTTGCACTGTGATCTGACAAATTTGTCAGACGAAGATGCTCCAAGTGACCAGGGCCCTACACCAGCAATAGCAGCCAGTAAGCCTTCCAGCACCACCGCCAGTTGGCGACACAACCCGTTGTACTTCTTGCCTCCTGAGGAGTGTGCCCAATTCCCAGCGGGCTCCTTGTGTCTCTCGCCAGGTTGGTTCTAACAAGTAAGAGAGGTGGGTCTCCTCGCCATGCCATTTGCCTTGCATCTGGACAGCCTTTGCAGCATATGGAGTCTGGGAGGCTGGAGACCTCCGCCAGCCTGAAGCTTGAGGGCGGAAGAAGTTGGCTGCGTGATATTCATGACTCCTCCGCATTGCTGGGCGCCATCCTGGCCGTCGTTCACCCAACACTATATGCCGCAGGATGCCAGTGCTTGGGTTTGATCCAGCAAGACCCAGAATTGCGAGAGATGGCGCTGAACTGGTCGTCGCCATTCAATGCGCTCCAGGTGATCGCCAACCGGGAAACTCCTTTCCACCGAGATAGCAAGACAAGATACACCTTCTACGACCTGTTGGCGACGTTGGGCAACTACCACTTGCGCGTGGTTGAAGTTCCCCACCATGCGTGTCGCCATTGATTATAGTCCTGGAACTGTCATAGCCTTCTGTGGAAAGGCGATTCGTCATGGCGTCACTCGAGCAGATGGCGAAAGGCTCGTCTATGCATACTTCATGCGAGAGGGTGTCCAGAACAGGCTAGGCATTCCGGCGCCCCACTGGATGCAAGCTTCATATTACGCCTCACACATTGGCATGTGCACAGTTCATCACCGAGTCTGCATTCCTAACTCAGAACAGGTCCTAACTGGCTCGCTTATTAGAGGGACATCATGCCAAAGACTGATGGAGACGAGAACACTATGCAGGGATGGAGACTGTCGATGGCAGCTTCATTGGCGGGATAAAGTTGGCGGAGGTGATGGCGAAATGTATGGAGTCTCGAATTTCCGAATCCTAGCTGAAGGTTGGCGAGGCGCGCGGTATGAGTGCGCATTTCACATCTCGACAGTGTTCAGCTCAAGGTGTAGTTATCACTGATGGCAGCATATGGTTGGCGGACCTCGAAGTTGGCGGAGATGGTGGCGAAATGTGTTCGGGTTGAGAAGTTGTGAGTGCTAGTGGGGCAGATGGCGGCAGCATTGGCGAGCGCGCGGTGCAAGTGCACGTTTCCCTTTTGAGTATTATGCTACTCCGAGTCAAGGCAAAGTTAGCACCGAGAGCGACATACAATTGGCAGACCTCTCGCCAATATGGCATCCTTATCTGCATAACACTGATATGGTGCCTAAAGAGACCACGAGGTGATAAGGCCCAGGCATTGCAGCCATTCTTAACCACCTTGATGAGTAGTCTGGTGGGCAGCAAGACCGTGTGTGATTTGCACGTGTTGTGCGATAGGGACACAATGCTCATCGATTGGCTTGGAATACGACTCCCCACTGACCTGAACCATGAGCAGACGCAACAAAAGCAGGCTCGTTGTAGACCTGGATGACGAGGTTGAGTTTGTGACCAAGGTAGCTAAGCAGACCACTAGGGGAGTACGCTATGTGGACGTACCTTTGCCCATGCCCACGGGTTCAAACATGCCATCGCCTTCCAAAAGTCCATCGAAGGCTCCAGCTTCAGGCTCCTTGTTTAACTTGGATGATGGCGACGTCCTGGGCACATAGGTGTGCCGATTCAGCTGGATCCGGCAGCTCAGAAGACAAAGGTGGGCACTCCCGCCATGACCATCTGACGGTCTGACCATGCGCGATAGACCCAGAATGACTTCATGAGGGACTGGATACCCCACCGTGATGACTATCTTCATGCCATTGTCGAGATGGAAGCCCCGCCTGAGCCCAGAAACTGTGCGGAATGCAAGGTTGGCGAGGGACGGTGGCGATGCCTGGACTGTATGGGCAGACCGCTCACCTGTACTGACTGCTGTCGTAACGGCCATCAGCGTGCTCCTTTCCATCGGATAGAGCATTGGCAGGGTCAGTATTTTGAGCCAGCATCACTGTATTGGGTTGGCGTCTGCATCCATTTGGGGCATGGTGGAGATCCCTGCCCTCTGGGCGCCTTCACAGCAACATAAACCCTGCGCCGGTGGTGGCCCCGGGGTCCGATTTCTGGAATGCCTCCAATGAAGACCTAAATGCACATGATGGCGAGGTCTCAGATGATGGCGAGGTCCCATTCAACTTTGCACCTCTGGCAGGCACCCTTGACGGTGAAGCAAGGCAAACCGACGATGCTCCCGATCCCACTTGGGAGGAAGATGTGCCACCAGTGCTCTCCCGGCCACCTCGCCGTGATAGTTATGGGAATTGGATCATAGTCATTGTCGACATCTCTGGTGTTCACCATATCGGCGTTGACTGGTGCCAGTGTGAGATGGCAGTGGAGTGTGACATGCAGCTTCTTCAAATGGGACTTTACCCTGGTACCGTCAAGGATCCCCATACCGCCTTCACATTCGCCGTCCTCGACGATTTCCTTCTGGAGAACAAAGAGTGCAAGACGGCGGCATTGAACTACTACAGCAAGCTCAAATGGGTCACGAGCAATGCCTTCCCTGGCACCATTCCCGTAAGTGTTCACATGCATTCCCATGGCCCAACTGTTCATGCCAGTTCCTCGCCAGGACCGTTATCGTGAGCTGATGCGGGTGTCCCGCCAATGGTGCCAACTCAAATATCGCAAGTGGCACGGCTTCTCACACGATGCCCTCCGTCCTGTGGAGAAGGGTGGCCTCGCCATCTTTTGTCCCGCCTGTCCCCAGCCTGGGCTCAACCTGCCTTTCGATTGGCAAGCGGATCCAGTGCAGTGGAAGTTCAAACACGGCTTTGTCATGGATGGCAATTTCAGTGCAGAGCACATGAAGATGAAGCACCCCGAGGAGGACGTCGCCCTTAGTAACGGCCAGGCATTCATGGTCGGCCAAGAGGATTACAAGGCTCATCTGGCGGTGGCCATGGAGTCGCATCAGGTGCGTGTCTGGCTGCACGTTCTTCTTCCGCCCTTGACTCCTAAGCCCACCAGCCGCTCCACTTGTCATGAGCACCGCGCTGTCAATCAGGCCAATGTGGATCGCGCCAACCTTGACGCCACAGGAATCGGGGCCACTGCTTGCACCAGACATGGTTTCTTCGTCCCTCATACTGTCGTCGATTTCCAGAAGGGAGAAAGGTTCGCATATGTCTCTTGTCATAATTCATTCTCACCGATGCACCCTCTGCAGACAAATGAATATGGATTACTCTCTCAGCAATGCGCTCCTGACCCTCACCGGTATCACCCTCGTCCTCGTCATGTACGACATCATGTGCCAGTATGGCATCCATGTCCGCAAACGTTTCCGCCACAGCGCCTATCTGAGGATGCCCTTCGAGCTCAAGATAGACCAAGGCATCGGCTTGTTTCATGTGCACGGACACCAAGATTGCTGCTTCCAATGGTTCTCGCCCAACTTTATAGTTGGCGCTGGTATGGTCGATGGCGAGGTCATCGAGACCCTGTGAGCACCCACAAATGAGGTCTCAGGCAGTACCAGGGGCATGACCCGAGCTCACCGCCAAGAAGTCCTTGACGATCACATGAATGACTCCAACTGGAAGAAGACGACTCGCATGGGTGAGCCTGATTCCTCCTTCCCTATTTGCCACCTGCCTTATGCTGCCTACAGTGCTAACCTTGATGACAAAGTGGAAACGCGTGCTCCTGGGCTTCCCAAGAAGCAAGGAGTCCTTTGAAGCTTTATCTGCATCCACAGATGAGGAGGTCCTTGAGGCATGGCAGAAGGAGTACGACGACGCTATGGAGGCTCGCCAAAATGATCCGAAGATTATGGACACCTTCGATGTCCAGCTCAGGAAGGGTGAGTATCCTTCCATCGTCATGTGGCATGTAGTTGACATGAATGCAAGCCCCGGGTAAAGACCTCACCCAACTCAGACTGGCGGGTGAGGAGTCCGCCAAGGGCTTGGAGAAGGGCACCGCCGGATGGTTGTCGACTGGCCTCAAAATTCAAGAAGCACAGTGAGTTTGCCTCATCTTAACAAAAATACAGCTCTGACGGCCTTCAGGCTTAAGCTTGCGAATGATATCCGCAAGGCGGGTCAAAATCCGAGCGTGGCGGAGGACCTCAAGACTCTCGAGCGCCATCAGCACCTCGAAGTCAGCATTCTCACATTCCAACGTCGCTCTGAGAAGTTCATGGGAAGGTTGGAGGACGTTCCCGCCATGGAAGATTGTGATGATGGTGCGCTCTGAGATTCCTTGGATGAGAATCCTTTTCAAATACACCCGGAGGACGCTGAGTATGGCGAGGATGCGATTCCACCCGAGCAAGCTTCCTTGAATTTACCTTCGCAGATCAGATTCGTGGCCGCTGTCGCCAACGGGCTCCAGACCCTGGCGGCCCAAGAGTTGGAGTTGCGCAAAGGCCTGATGAATGACATCCTCCACGAGCTTCGCATGGTGCTTGGACTGAAGTCTTACCTCTACCGCAAGAGGGTTCGTCCCGCCAACAGCATCGGAACCATGACCCATGCACAGGCGGAGGTTCATGCTGCCGATCAGACCGTCTTGGCCTGCGCCAGGCTCTATTCCGCCAACTGACGCGCCATTATGCGCTTGGACGCCACCGATGAAGACTTGGCCCTCTATCGCCCTTTGGATAAGAAGGACCTGCACGTGAAGACTGCCGTCATCGAGGCTAGCACCTCCAGGCTCAGGAACGTCAACCTGGCTTGGTTCTGGACCATGGATGTCGCTGGAGATTGAGGTTCATCAGAATGGATGGACGAGTGTTCGTAATTGTCTGATCAATCTCTAGGCCTCCTGCTAATTTACCCTCCAGTCTATAGAGTGAATTGGCTGCGTGCCAGAGCTCGATATGAGAGATGGAGGGAGGAGCGTGTCTTGGTCCACTCAGAAATGGCCTGGACCATAGCCACCTTCAAGCGGAATGTGGAACGATGGGCTCACTGGCTCGAGATGACGGATCCTTCCTGGCAGGGTCATGTTTGCTATGCCGCCAGGCAAGTGAGTATGTGGCGGACCTTCACCAGCCACGCCACTGACGCCTTCAGCCACATCCTCGCCCTGGACATTGAGGATGAAAGGGCGGGCGATGAAAATGCGCTTTGAGTCAGGGTTCACTGGGGTGTACGCATATTCATGTTTGCTATATCGATGTAGTGATCGTCATGTATGTAATTCCTACTCACCAATATCACATTTGGCGAAGTGACCTCCATCCTCACCTGAGGGCTTCATCTCGGCATGTGCTCTCCAATCGCATGACATCAGACATCAGATAAGGTCGATCAGATATCAACCTCAGCTCATCCACTCACCATCATGTCTGCCCAGTCTTCAACATCAGATGCGCGCCCCTGCCTGTTCTCCAGAGGGAGGTTGCAGTTGGAAGTCTACACTTGGAGGATCCAAGAAGCTGTTCTGGCACTGGAGCCTGACCCAGATCACTTCACCAAGGTCCATTGGGAGGAAGGCTTGCGCCGGGAGATGGTACGCCTTTCTTGCTGATATCGCCTGACCCTGCTGAGTCCTGTGCAGTTCGCCGTCAGGGGTATCTGTGGCGACCTCGCGTTGGCGGGTCATGCTGACCATATTGACCATGGCGGAGTTATCGCCAGTGTCCTTACCATCTGCACTTTCAATCGCGAAGTTCTGCGCCCCATCAGCATTGACGTCAAGGCGATTCCACGCCCCACCACCCTTGTTCCTCATCCTAAGAACCTACTCGAGGATTCACCCGACTACTGGTGGAAATGGGATCGTCAGGTTGGGCTGGCGGGGAGCCCTATGGAGGCCTGGTGGTACAAACTTGGTGATCCCTGGGTGAGTGGTACGTTCCAGCACCTTACAGTCTTGCTGAACCTCGAGAACATAGGAGAAGGTGTACACCGTCTCCGAGTCTACACTGGTGCAGCTTGAACAGCTGCATGTTCACGTCGCGAACCTCACTAGTTGGTTGCACGAGAGGACAGATCAGAACCTGGATGTGGTGCTGGAAGAGCTGCAGGAGGCGACGCGGCAGCTGCGTGAGTTAGGAATGTAATCGCCCAATGCCAGGCGTCCGTTCGTGCTGTAGTGTGTCGAATATAAGGTTGTCATGTCTTTGAACCTGGGCAATGTACCTGGTGTGGTAAGGCGAAACATAGTAGCCACATACTCTCCTCAGGAGGGCACATCCCCAATGGTATCTGATGCATGGCTCGAAAGCCAATGCCACATGGGAGAGTTTGGCGAAGTCATTCTGGACTGCATGTTCAGATGGCGAGTGATATCCACCACAGTTCGCCAACCCTACTCACGGTGGAAAGGACCGCCATTCGTCTCCACATACTCTACCCAGAAGGGCACATCCCAAATTGTATCTGATGCATGTCTCGAAATGCCGATGCCAATTGGGAGAGTTTGGCGAAGTCATTCTGAACTCCATGTTCAGATGGCGAAGGATATTCGCCACAGTTCGCCAACCCTTCCCACAGTGGGAGAGAGTGTGATACTGCAAGGAGAGCTGATAGTGAGCTAACCAGAATTGGAGGGAATGATGGGTGGATTACGTGGAAATTATTGGCCGGCGGTAGCTCCATCATTGCCCTGTTAGGCGGTGGATCAATCACTGAAAAATATGCCCATGGCGGTTGACTGATCGCTGAGAACTACACCTATGGCGGTGGGCCGATAGGTCTGAGCAAGAGGTGCCGCATGAGCAACGACTTGGCGTCGGAGCCCCCTTCTTCTGTGGTGTCCTTCGGCTCGTACGCTGATTTGCACACGTCCGCATCCTCGTCTACTTCGTGCTCTTCGGTTGACTTCGGGTACAATCCGTTCACTTCGTATGGTCTACTTCTTGGCTCGGGCAACCAGGTGTGGCATCCGCCCATGCTTCCCCCTGACCAATCTCCACGTTTCATACATCTGCCCATGCTTCCCCCCGACCAATCTCCATGTTTCATACATCCACCTATGCTACTCCCTGACGAATCATCTGATATGTTCCTTCACCCACCCATGCTTCACCAAGACAACACGGACACGATACGAGCCCAGTTGACAACCTAGGGCAAGGCAAATAACTCAGCTATGCCCAGGCTAGTCAGATATTTCAGGCGACCCATGCTTATGGGCTCAGAAATATACCTATGGCGGTGGGCCGATGGCTGTATAATAGCCCCGTGGTGGTGGGCCGATCGCTCAGAACACTACCTATGGAGGTCGGCCCATCGCTCAGAACACTACCTATGGCGGTGGGCCGATCACTCAGAACACTACCTATGGTGGTCGGCCCATCGCTCAGAACACTACCTATGGTGGTGGGCCGATGGCTGTATAATAGCCCCGTGGCAGTGGGCCCATCGCTCAGAACACTACCTATGGCGGTGGGCCGATGGCTGTATAATAGCCCCGTGGCAGTGGGCCGATCGCTCAAAAATACACCTATGGCGGTGGGCCCATCGCTCAGAACTATCACCGCGGCGGTGGGCCCATGCCTGTATAATAGTTGCATCATGGTGGTGGGCCGATCGCTCAGAAATACTCCTATGGCGGTGGGCCCATCGCTCCAGCATTCCCTTCATCGCCATGAGCCGATCGCTGACAGCTCCTTACACAGACCGATGGGCCGACGTCCGCTGGCTGTCCAGTTTATGACAATGTCAGGGTAAATGGGAGTCCAGTTCACAAACATGACTGAATGGGCTGTATATACCCAGTGGAAAATGCGTCTTGTGAGATTGCAGCAAGTCGCACGAGGTCGTGGCTGTGACCAGCTGCGACCAGCCGAGAATTTGGACTATATGCGATCTTGAGTGAGCCCAATCAAACATGGTCGCAGGCTAGCACAGTGCCAAGTGGGAGAATCGAGGCATTTCGCACCTACTCAAATTTTAAGCCACTGTATAATAATTGTATTGTCGTGATTTAATACAGTGTGATTACGCTCGACATCGTGTGAGCACCCTTGCCATTGTGCGAGCTCCTGTGACATTGCGCGATCTACTTCGACCTGCTTCACTCACGCCCCCGCCCCCGCTCCCACCCCTGCCCGCACCCCCGCCCCTGCCCCTGCCCGTACCCCTGCCCTCGCACCTATGCACCCCTGCATACACACATGCGCCCATCCCCCTGCCCGTGCACGCATCCGCGCACTGGCACGCAATCACACACATCCGCACTCCCTGCATTCGCTGTCATCCCCGTTTTCACACCTGGATGCTGTCCAACACCTGTAATATAAGTAGAGTTAGTGAATATGTGTCATAGCATAGATAAAGAATGAGATAACGGTACCTAGGACATACCGCGAACACGCCGGCGATGCCATACCTCAGAAGCTGCAGTGTCAGTCCATACCATCAGGAAAACCTCAACTTTACTTACAACGGCTTGATCGTCTTGATCAAGTAATCAAGAACCTCAAGTACAATAAGCTGATCTCTGTACTTGACTGGCTTGATTGCCGCTTGACCAGCTTACGACCAAAGAAGAGCCAGGTAATAAGCTGAGAAGATCGCAGAAGTTGACTGACTTGATTTTACTTGACCGACTTAATCTCGCTTGGCCAGCTTGAGAAAGCAACATCACAAGCACACTAAGTCAATGAAGTCAACTAGTATTAAATGGCTATATCAAGTAACTTAAGCAAATCGGCATGTAAGGAGAGTCAGATAAGAAGCTGGGCAGCCGGCAGAAGTCAGAACAGCGACAAAAGCAAGTAAGGGAGATCCCAAAAACAAGTAGGTATCATGTAGCTAGGCATAGCAAGCTACAAAGAATGTACTAGGTGATAGCAAGACAGAAGGACAGGCATGGTAAGCTAAAAAGAGTGAAGCGAGAGTAAGACTGGTGCGGAATTAAGAACATGTCTAAAAAAGCAAGATTACTATAAAACGAGTTTAATGAGTGAATGTGACTGTATAAACGCAAAGACTAAGGACTGGCAAGCGAGCAATGATGACTGTACCAAAGAAGATGCAATAACTGACTTGCAGTTAAGACGACAATCAGATGGTGCTCAACGACAAAACAAAGCGATCCAATGACTAAACTTCAAGTCACTGAGGCTGTGAGGTAGCGATGTGCATATAAACTGAAACAGACTGTTGCAAATGATGTCAGTTCAACAGACAAATGACAAAGAAAAGACGTGCCTTCAATTAAGAATCATAGTCATCCTCAGAATCAGCATTGACAAGGTTCGCACGCTCATCATTAGAATCCTCCTCGTCTGATACTTCAATGATGTCCTGCATGTTTGATTTGTAGATCTTCTTTGCTTCAGTGATGATCCTGTCGACTCTGTGATCCAATAGATTTACAGCAGAGCTAACGTATTGCCGGCTTTTCTTGCCAAAGCTTGCATCCGAGAACACATATTTGTTCTTGTCTTCCTTTTCACTTTGAGGGTTAATGAACTTGACCGTTACTACCTTCCCCTCTTGCATCAGTAATACTCTCGTCCTCCACAAAGTGAACGCTCGCTCAAGCTATCAATAATTAAGGTTAGATAGACACTACCATAAAACAGCAGATTACACGCACCGCAGCTGCAGCCAACCCAATTGCACCATAAGGCTTAGTACGTCCTCCCATCTCGATAGTGTACAGAGCAGGAACATTGATCGCTCCTTCAGTTGACTTGTAATAGTAGGCAAGTGTTTGTAAGACCAGGGGCGAATGAAAGAGACCTCTGAAAGTCTTGTTTTAAATGAGTAAGTATTCAGTAAATACCAGCTGACAATATGATGATCACACACCGATTCATCTGGACCATCAACATCCTTCCACACAAATCGCTGTTTACGGAGAATCATCTTTGCAAAGCTCACACGTTGTCCAGTCGTCTCAAAATCTTCATCAGAGCTGAACAAATCTCTGATGACTGTGAGTGCAGTAGAACCAAAGCCATTACACCATTCACAGAGCCTCTGATTGGCCTAAATTGGTGAAGAGGGCAGCAGTGTTTGAGTGTACAGTGAGATGTACAATCACAGAGACTTACAAGTTTACAGACGAAATTTTCATGAATAACCTTGTGCACGATCTTCGGTTTAGTAAAAACTGCATCCCAAATGCATTGCAACACTTCGACAGCCTTCTCATCGCTGATCGACCAGGGATCCAGTGTAGTACCAATATAACGCTCCAAGGTCGGAATGAACACCTGCTGCCAGAGCTTCAAAGTGCCAGGCGGTAAATTGGCATTGGTCGCACTAGTTGACTTTGGCTTCTTGGACTTGACAAGTGCACCATCGTCCTTCTCGTTGTCGACCTTGATCTCCGTGTCTTCAATTTTAACCATACTCTACAAAAGTTGCTCAGTATCGTCTCAATATTGTACAGGCTGCTTACATTACTGGTCAAGCGTATTCCTCCCTTTACAGGACTGGAAAGGGCTGCAATTCATTCAAGTTCATTGTCGTCATCACTGGAGATCCCACCGCCAACTTCAATTTCAATGAAGTTAATCTTGTCCGATTTTGATTCTAACTTTTTGACAGTCTGCGACACCTTGGTGGAATTGGACGTCTGAGTCCTGGCTGTTTTGGATGAGGCAGCAAGGGACTGTGAAGTGCCAGAAGTGGATGATGGATGAGCCTTAAAAGGAAGATTCCAAGTGGGTACATTTGTTGCCCAGTTCTTGATCATTCCGGAGAGGTTGCCGGCATCCTTCTTATCCCTGCAGGTATAGTAGAAGAGGGTGGTTTCATCGAGTGTGAGTAACAGCTGCATGAAGGGACAATTTGAGTACCACTTACCTTTGTGCAGGCGCTTTGGCTTCCTTATAGCTACCAGCCTTCCCAGCATGCGCTCGGGCGTCTTCTCTCTTGACTGTACCCTCATCCTCAGATGACTCAACAACAACAGGCTCTTTCATCCACTTGTTAGTCTCCTTCGCATTCTGTTTGCGAGCGGCATCTATGGCTTTTCTGGTGGACTGCTTCTTCGGCTTCTTCTTCGGGCGCTCATTCTCCGTCTCGATATCTGTAAGTTCAGAGCCTTCAGCATCGGATGTGTCTCCTACCGCTTCTTGTTCAGCTTGTTCAATCTGCTGAAGACGGTTGTCTGCATCATGGTGACCATCCTCCATTACATCAAGGGAAGCATAGGTGCGTCAGAGAGATTGAGGGTCTGAAGCCCGAGGACATTTCGCAGGCTGCTGAGACGACTGTGTGACACGTCCAGTCTCAATTTTGGCCATGTCATTGGCCATTCTGTCCTCCAGATCAGCAATCTTCTTCAACTTCTTGACCTTGGCTAGCTGCATCTTCTCCTTGGCCTTTTCTTCTGCCCTTTTGGCCTCTTTTACCTCTGCCTGGGTGCGTCTTTTTACCCTTAGATCAAGTTGACCAGGATGTTTATCGACATTTGTCGCACGAGTAACAGGACGAGACATAGTAGGCGTTGAGGAGTGACCTGGAAAAGGGTGACAGCAGAAATATGGTTGGTTTTAACGGTTGTTGCCAGGGTGCTCAGCATCTAATGGCAGTGAATTTTGACCATTCAGAAGGGTGCCCATCTCGATATATTACAGGCAATATTACTTGAATTAAATGTATTTTCTGACTGTCCTTCGGCACAGTCTAAGTCCATATCACATATCACAGAGAGCAGCAGACAGGAAGAAGTTCGGTTGGTGTCTCAACTTTTCCCTCACCATCATGGTCAGGTTGGGTCATGTCATAGTCACAAACCACATCCACGGTGGAGATAAGTGCCCACACGCATTCTCAAACAGCCAGTGACCAGTGACCGGTGCAGTTCAGGACTCAAACCACTGCAAATCCACTTTGCTAGGTGAGTCGTGCTCTGAGTGTGTGTGCTAACTGGTCTACTATGACGATCCTCAGTATGGCATCTTTGGGTGCATCACCTGTCTTGTATAATATACCACAGAATTATTTGATGAGAATGGGCTGAAGACCTTCTCAACACTTTCTGCGAGACATAGGCATGTCTGTGCCCATTTCATAGGGCAAAAGAGCAGACTTGTTTGTGATGAAGTTAGGGAGAACTTGTGTGAGATGATGCGGTTCTGCAGACAAATGTCCCCTAGGTACCGATAGTATCACACAGTTTGGTACATAGTAGGTTGTATCTATTCCCATCATTATATCCAGATCATATCTCTAATACATCCAGCAGAGATGATTAATGCCGCAACCATTGCACTCTACCTATGGCTTTTGGAAAGCCATCGCTGCTGAGTCAGAGAGCCGCTGAAAGCTAATGAATCATGCCTGATGCCTTTGGAATCGATAAGCACAATTCTTCTACCATACATGTCGCATTTCCAACGCATGTGGTGCAAAGAAAGCAGGTGCCCATTGTTCAAGTTCAGAGTGAGACCAAGTAGTGTTGAACGGACTTGCCATCTCTCACACCACTGCAAAGCCCGAGCCATTGTCACCTCTAAGCAATCAATACTTTTTCCTATATGATATGAATGCACAATGAAGACAACTGTGTGGTTGGATGATAAGGTCCATTGATGATGGATAATGCAAGGATGATGATGATGATGATGCGTTCTAAGCTGTAAGATCATGGACGAAGTGGAAGAAGTCTACAGAAGAGCTGTTGACGCCATACTTATAGATCTGCGCACAACCGAACACGATGGTCAGTTTGACTGATGCAACAAGCGGCACAAGGAAGGAACATGCACGAAATGTGATGCCATCCAGCTCGAGAACAATGCACGTTGGTATGGTTTACTACATTTTGGGGAGCCTGTTCAGCATGGTATCGAGCCCAACTTGGTCGACGAGCATCTTGGGAATCACTTGGCTCATGATGCCCTGTCGGCATGCAGGATCTTCGTACAGGTCCGAACCCTCCAACTCGGTCTGCAGGTCATTGAGCGTGATTGACAGCTTGTCCGAGATGAATGTGCATGCCTTCGCACCCTGCACACGCGTGTGCTCCCGCCAGAGGCACTGGAACTCCGCCACAGCGTTCTCAGTGACCCTCGCTTGAAATGGCTTCCTGTTCTTGAAGATCATTAGGTCGACGTATTCTTGTGTTGAGAGTGTGAGCCCGGCGAGTACCTCCAGCGATGAGCTCATGACACCACCTGAAGGGGCGACATGAGGGCTTTGATGGTGTGCATATAATGTGCTTGATCCTACCTTTGTTGGTACTAGAGTCCTTGAACAGTACAACTTTCCGCTTCTCAAGGTAAAGACGCGCTTGCTGTGTCAGGAACAGATTCGCACCCTCGACGATGTACTTGAAGTGCGGCTTGCCCTCCGAGTCCACCAGAGCGGCAACATTTGATATATTGACAGCCTCGGGTCTAGAGTATCCGCATAAGCATGCAAAAACCCACGTAACTAAGTTGAAATACTGACCATCCACCGCAAGGCACGAACAAGTCGGCCTTGAACCGCAAATGCTCACCATTCCTGAAATCAGTACCGTCCAGAATGACTTCCCCAGCTGCGCCATCTGTCAGTACGCACTCGCGCGAATTTACCGGTCGATACTAACTCACATGGCAGTTTGAGGTCCTGGTCCTCCATGTGCACCAAATATCTGTCCTTGCTGAGCTTGGACTTGTCGAAGTGGGCGACAGGGATGCGCAGCTTCGCCAGTCAGATGAGCTCCTCGTGGTCGATACCGGCGGGGTCAGCAAGGACGCCACTACTGTCAATGACAGCGATGGTCTTGTCAGAGCTGAGAAGGATCTCGTCAAATTCACGAAATCACACGGAGTCGCAATGGGGCATATACTCACTTGAGCCAAGATCACCATCTGCTGCAACACGCAAGACCCGATCAGCAATCGCGATCAAATGACATGAGCCTCAAACTAACGCACCAGGTCCGCCAGTCTGCACTTTCGTGATATCCTTCTCCCTGAGCCCGAGCTGCTTGTAGATCCCAAGCACATACTGCTGAATTGAGAGCGACGTCATACCGAACTGGTCGTGCAGGATGCCACTGAGCGTCTCTGTGCTCTTGCCCATCGTGAACGACTTCCACCAGGTCTCCGCACCACGGGCGCGTGTGTGCACTTCCAGAGAGCTTGCATCAGGATAGAGTACAGGAATAGAGAGTTCAGGGATACTCACGAGCTGCCCAATCCATCATGTCCACAGTACCCTCTATCACTGCCATAGTGAGTATGAAATGGTCCGAAGGAGGTGACGGGCACGCACCATCCGGACCGAAGAACAGCAGCTCCGGCTTGCCATACAGATCAATCAGACATTTCTTGATCCTAGGGCTTTGTCCAGGAATCAGCAGGTTGATGACAGCCTGCATCCAAGGATTAGTCTCAGCAACATTAACGACTGCTGGAGCGCCGACTTACGTCCACGTATTTCTCGAAGCACAATCTTGGGCTTGAACCCAATCTGCGAAGCAGGACAAGCGGCTGTCAGTGCCTGAACAGCAAGTGTGAAATGGAAGAAATGAAGATGAAATGTATGAAGGTAGGATCGTGCCCTTAGCACCGCCTTCTGGGATGTCCTTGTTCTTCAGGGACTGCATCGATGCTAGGTCATAGTTCTCGTCGAACCTGCCAAACACTGCATCAGAATCAGTGGGCCCTGCAGAGCATATGATGCATACAGCATTCTCTGGTTAATAGAGTAGTTCCTATCACAGACATCGGTAAGACAGACGAAGTGAAAGCAGGTATGCGAGACACTCACTCACTATTCCTCAACATAACAATCCTGATACCTCCCCGCACAACGTCCCTGAACCTGATGTGGAAGCCACGGAATTCACCGCCTACACCCATATCACGCGACCAATCAAAAACACTCTCAGCTGCACAGATCAAAGTCCTCACCAATGATAAAGAACATGCCAAATGGTTTCTTCGGGTACTCCACCTCAGGCAGGAAGTCTGGCACGAGGCGGAACGACAGTGCGACCTTAGTCAGCTGGTAAAAGTTGGTCTTAAGAACGTGCCTATCCAGTCACCCATGTCAGCCTAGCATAGCACACATCGTACATACGGGAGTTGAATGCACTTGTTAAAGATCAAGAAGCTCTCGAGGACCTGCAGCTCGTGCTTGTTGTGCACAGTTTTCCTGATCTTGTCATAGAGGTCCTCGTCGGACAGTGGGACTTGGGTCTGGAGACGCTGGTATGACAGCGTAGGCCTGCCACAGCATTCGTGTCAGACATAAGGTGCGACATACACTAGCTGGGAATGCACATCAACTATGATGCCTCATCCGCCGTGGGGTAGTGCACCATCAAAGTTAACATACAGTAAGTTAATCTGCCCGCATGACCATAATGAATTGCAGCAGCACACGAACTAGCACAACATGACGTACGAGGTCAGCATGCGCATGGATGACCTGTGCGATGCTTTCTCGCATGAAGGTCTCCTCCCTGAAGCGGTGTTTGATGTTGTTCAGCACTTCCATGTGTGACGAGTTCGACTCGTCGAGAATATTCTTCAATGCGAGGTACGCTGGCCCAAGATGGTTGCAGAAGTGCTGCATGAACACCCAACCACAGTCTGTGTCCCAGACGTGACGCGACTCAGATATAATGATGTCACCTAAGAGTGAGACGCAAAAGTGACGTACAAGCATAAGTCGCCTCCTGCACGGCATGCCCGCTGTTCTGGCCGGGCTCTGCATAGAAGAAGGGGTTGTCGGGCAGGCAATATAACAGTGAGGCCTCCTTCATCACTTGGAATATGGAATGCTTGATTGTGGGAGCGTTCAGCGCGCTCGGGAGAGGGTTAAGATACAAGGATATAATCGTGATGCCATTCGAGAATTGCTCTGTGTGAATTATAAACTGTGAGCACGCAAAGATGGAACGTGCTTGAGCTACATACCGATGTATTTGCACATGGAATAGAGGGCGTAGAAGTGGTACAGATTTGAGAGGGCACTGAAGAACTTGCTCGTGCCGCCCATCTTATACCCGATGACGAGCCTGCACTCACAGCTGCCCTCCACCTCGAAGACCTCGATGACAGGCCCGTAACACATCTCCACATTCCACATCACGTTCTGGTAGATTTCCAGTGTGTTCTCGCTGGCCTTCTCGAGGAACACTGGGTCAGAGATGGTGCGGATGTCCGTTTACTGCAACACCAGCCATATTTAGTTCGACTAGAGTCTGATTCATATGAGAGAGAGCTACACACCCATCTGTACACATCGAAGAAGGTGGACTGGCGGGGAAGTTGCACTTGGTAATGAAGTAGCAGCGCAGCTGTTGTGACGCAGTAGCGGATACAAGGCCCTGCGAGCAATACGTCTTGAGCCTGTATGCCTTACTCAGGGTGAAGTTGTCGAGATACAATGCATCGATCCTATTCTCACACGATGCGCCAGGGCTCTCGGTCGCGGTCTTACCGGGTGAGCTAGTGTAGATGGATGTCGCGCTGTTGTCGTTCTCGTCGATCTTCTCGAGGGAGTCGATCTCTTGTTCAGCACCAGCACCGTACTCGCCAGGTTGGGGTCCAGGGAGCCAGTGTGGTACAACTCCCTATGCTTTGCAATATAGCTGTCCTCAATGACCAGCGGCGTGGGTGCGGCCGTCAGTTCAGACTCGGACTCGGGCTCGAGCACAGTCATCAGCTCTGTGTGCACAATGAGTGTGTTAGGAGATGGGGAGAAAGGAGGGTGAGGCGAGAGAGGACAAGTCGCCACACGCCACAACTTCCCAAAGTGGCTGCCTCAAGGGAATTTTTCTGGTGGTTCCAGAAAAATTCCCTTGAGAGCACTACTCATGTCTTTGCTCGGCCTCTCTGAGGCTGACCTGCTGGTTCTCATCGACTTCATCCGTTCTCGGGCTAACCTCCCTCCGCAAATTACCTCTATTCTATCTAAGCTTAACCCAGCTGCCTCTCTGGAGCCTTCCAGTCGTCCAGTGGCATATCTGTCTCCTTCGCTGACACCAATGCTGACCCCCACTCATGCTAGACCTCATCTTCAAGGCTCAGTTGAGTACATTCCCCCTTTCTTGGGTTGTCTCTTCCTAACACATTTTGTACTATCAAGATATGCACTTCTCTAAGATTACCTTCGATCCTCGAAGACCTCGCTGCAGCTGGCCACTCTGAGGACAATGCTACCTTTGAGTACCTCCACCTCCAGCATACGCATGGACCCCCTCCAGATTCTCTGGGTTCTCCACTCACCCCATCTCCTGGAAGTCTGTATGAAAATCAGAATGCCGATGCCGACTGGCCTGTTGAGGACAAGAATGAGGTTGAGGATGAGGGCGAGGAGAATATGGAGGATGAGAGCGAGGAGAATATGGAGGACGAGGGTGAGGAGAATATGGAGGAGGAGACATTGGATGAGGAGCCTCTTATAGACTTGGTGCGTCATCTTGGTGGAGGCAACTGTGTTCGAGGGGGAAAGAAAGCAGGCAAGGCACATGGAATGGCGTTGGTAGAGAATGATCCTGCAGAGGAGGATCAATGCATGGAGATTTTTGAGGATGTGAATATCGAGCAGGGTGATAGTCCATTCAATGAGAGTGACTGGACAGGTCTCCCGGCAGGAACACCAGCACGGTGGACTGTTGCTGACATTCCTGCTGTTCTGGTGGGTGGGCCTGGCAAGGCTGCTACCCACTATGTTGCGTTGCTTGCTGAGGGCACATCAAGCAATGTTGAAGGCCCAGAGGTTGCTATGTAAGTGTCAATTTGGTGCATACATTGTGATTGAGTTGATGGCAGCTTGTAGTTGGGTTGGTGCCATGAAGGGTCTTGTCGAAGGTCATACGTGGGAGCATCTAGATAGCGCCTTCGACACTAATGCATTGAGGGCACTCGTCTACCGTGTACATCGAGCTGAACATGTGCTGTTGGGCACAAAAGTTGTGGCAATGTTTGCGAAGGTCCAATTGGCCATAAAGGTAGAAATGTGAGCATTTCGTCTTCAATTCACCACCATAGTACTTAAAACTATTCACAGCACCCTTCAGAGAGACAATGCTGGCCTGAAGAAGGGGAAGAAGAGGAAGAAGCTTTCAGACCTTTACAAAAAGCACATCGCCGCAATGGAGAATGCCCTGCAAGAGAAGACGTTCCGCAGGTGGGTAGCAATTGGTCAGAGATTTGCAGCTCTTGCTGCAGCGGGTAAGTCCATTTAGTATCTCTCTGCTACACATCTCAAGGCGCTTTCTTTTCTCAGGTTCTGTATATCTCCTTATCATCATTGCTGCTCGTGGTCATTACAAAATGATCGGGTCGCTGCAACAGCCCACCATCTGGGTGATGTGTAATACGTTACGGTGGCCAAATCCAGGTAACCAATTCAGTAAGTGTGACGAAATGCACTGAAGCTGAACATCAACCAGATACGCTTATTGGACAGCACATTCTGAGTCGACTTATCCCCCTCATTGACTATGTCCGCCAAGCTATTCCTCTGAGTATAGACACCATCTTTCCACCGTCCTGGCTTCAGGAAGTTGGACTAACACGGCACATTAACTGTCAAGATTTTGATCTAACGGACACTTTCTTTGACACGTTTACATATAAGTAAGCCTTGTCTTTTGTATCTACCATGGTCGATTCTAAGACATGATCTCACATTAGATGTTTTCGATCTGTTGATCGTCATCGCCCTTCATGGGCACCTTGTCTGATCTCTGAAGATATCATGGAGATGGATGAAGGCCCTACGTCCATGTATCTGATGACTAGAAATCTCCTATCTGCGGCATCTAGCACAGCTTCAATGCATCTACCTTCTCCGATAATTGATGCAGAAGGTGAACTAACTGGCGATGCAGTGGATCTGCAGGATACTAGGCTTAATAGAGATCCCTTTCCTGATGCTCCATCATTCCGCTCTGAGCAGTTCTACACTCCAGATGCAAGTTCTCCACAGTATCTGGTCCTTGATACCAATTTTGACCTGGATGCTCCGATAAACAAGGCTTGTCCTTATCCCAAGAAGAAGAAGGAGACTAGCAAGTGGATTAGGTGATCTGACCAGCAGCGCGAGTATGCGGAGAATGCCTATAATGCGACAACTCTTGCAGACTTTAAAACAAAGGTATGTTCGTTATATCTCTCCATATATATCTATTAATCTTCTCTTGCACAGGTCAAGCACCATTACTCTTCTGATGGTGTGAAGGTCACGAACTCCTATATTTGTCTAGACCGCTCAGCCTTTGCGGGGTACGTCACTTACTATTATCTAAATTACTGTTTCTAAATATCTTGTAGGAAAGAAATTCAACTTAATTGCAAAGATGGAGAGCTGCTTGCCTTTGTTGCAGCAGATATGCCACAAGCGATGAGAGAAGGACTGGAGCGAGGTCTTCGTTCAATCTTATTCAGTGGTGGGCTACCGGAGTATCAGCTGCAAGACGTGGACGCTGCTGCCAGTCCTGGTCAGCACAAGTTTCCTTGCATTCATTTCTCCCGCTATGCACATAATATTGTTCGGGTGCGTTATCTTGCATCTCTACTTCGTACAACATACTAAATCATCTTTAGGGTGATGATGCTCCTGACGATGTCCATCCACTATTTCTCTACAAGGCCAAGGTCATTCGTGGGTATATGAATCATCACCAGATGATACCTTATGTTTCGAAGGAGTTTTTTGATCATGAGCAGGAGTACGATGCTTTGTGCAACATCTTTGAAGAATTCTTTCAATGGATTGCCGATAAGGTGAGTTTTCTGAGTTTGCTATTATAAAAGTAATTGCCTTATCGGAAGTGCAGCTCCATCAACGTCTTCCTGACATTTACGATGCTATCGAGATATCTGTGGATGCCCTTCCTGCACGTGAGGCCTCACCGTGCCATCCCTTCACTAGCCTGGTTCTTAACATTAACGTTATCATGCACACACATCGAGATGTCAAAGATCTCAAGGTGTGCTTGGTGCTTGTTCTTAGACGACATGATGGTGGTGATTTATGCTTTGTTGAACCCGGTATTGTTCTTCCTCTGCGAAGTGGTGACTCAGTTGTTTTTTATTCTCTTAAGCTTACTCACTTTAACCTGCACTATCGCGGTGAGAGAGCCTCTCTTGTGTTACATTCAGACAGAGACAGTGAAGATTGGGATAAAGATCAGAAGGGTTGGCAGCATAGCACGTTTATGAATTATTAGTAGCTTGCATATGTTCTCAGAATTGGCAGACGAATTATGACTATTTTCCTGGTCTGGTACTGTAAGTTATGCTGCTGCGTCTTGTCTTATCTTTGCAAAGTCCCACTTAAGTCTGTGCACAATATTGCACTCAATGCCTGTCCATCTAACTCCTCGACCCTAACACATTCCGAGTTTCCTTCACTACCCTTGCAAGGTTTCTGGCTGCAATCGATGGTTTAAGAACAAGGGTGGACTTACGAAACACACTCGGTCCACTCATGCTCACGCTCCTCCTGCACAGAGGCAAACAAACACTATTTATCAGGCACAATACGCAACGTCTTCTCATGGCAATGCTCACGATGATCAGGAAGCTGAAACTGATTCAGAAGACGAGTCTAGTGATACACAGTCTGAAGATGACAATTCTGCATCTGCACGCTCAAGTTCTTTGAATCGTGCACCGTCATGGTCTCCAGTATATTCAGATGGTGGACCCGGAGGATGGAAGTGACTCCGATGGTAAATTCAATGCCAAGGACTACACTAGAGTGGATCCAGATCCAATTGGTGTGACAAGAGAATATCATCCCTACATTAATGGTAAGTTCATCTGCTTGCATGCAAATTTCACTAAGTCCTCCTATGTCTGACAGAAAGGCCATGTGATAAAAATGGGATCTATCTTCCAAATGGTACACCTCCCCCACCTTCCCCTGCTCCAGAAGCAGATGATTGGTTCCCTTACCCTGATCGAGTAGCCTTTGAAACGGCTGAATTCCTTTACAAACGAGATCAAATGTCAGCAGATAAGATCAACACACTTCTTCAGTTGTGGGCCGCCAGTCTAGTACAACATCAGGACCATCCACCGTTTGCAGATCACGAAGAGCTATACAGTACAATAGATTCAACATTACTTGGTGAGGTCAGGTGGGAATCATTCAATTTGCAGTATGAAGGCGAGCTTCCCGAGAGAAATGTTCCCTCATGGATGACGGCGAAGTACGAGGTCCATTTTCGAAATCCACGAGAAGTATTTTGCAACCAAATGGGAAATGTTGATTTTGATGGTGAGATCGACTATGGACCACTATGGGAGTTCGAGAATGGCAAACATTGCCTGAAAGACTTTATGTCTGGAGATTGGGCCTGGAGGCAAGCGGTGAGCTTATTCTGTTTGTTTTTATCTTTGTAACTAATGTCAGTCAATCTTAGGACCTCATTGCACAGGATCCAAGTACGCATGGTGCAGCCTTCGTTCCTGTCATTCTTGACAGTGACAAAACTACTGTCTCTGTTGCTACTGGACAAATGAGTATTATCCACTGTACGGATCCATTGGAGGTGTACACAATAATGTACATCGTGCACATCGCAATGCTGTAGCACTGTTGGGCTTTCTTGCCATTCCGAAGAGTGAGTTACGATCTAAGTGTCGATTCTAATGGTGACACATGAGCTGATCACTTGAATGGTAATAGCTGATAAGGAGTTCTCCGAGGATGCAACATTTCGCAAGTTTTGCCGACAGTTGTTTCATAGTTCATTGTCAAGGATCTTGCAGCCATTAAAGCCTGGAATGACAATGCCAGAGGTTACGCTATGTGCAGATGGCCACTATCGGCGAGTCATGTATGGTCTCAGTCCCTATATCGCAGACTATCCAGAACAAGCTCTGCTTGCATGTGTCGTCTCTGGCTGATGTCCAAAGTTAGCCATTCCATTACTTACTTTTCACTTCACTGACAGTTTTTCTAGGTGCACTGCTCCAAGAAATGATCTTGACGGTCCCGGCTATGGTTGCGTTGCCGTGAACATACTGAACTGCTAGTACGAGAACTAGAACTTGGTGTGTTATGGGATGAATATGGTCTCGTTGGAGATATAGTGATGAGTCTAGCCTTAGATTCAACGCGCTGTCATTTCAATTTTACCACTTTCATAGCTGACTTTCTTTCACCATGACAGCCATTTACAAATGATTTTCCTCGAGCTGACATTCATGAACTCCTCTCTCCAGATCTTCTTCATCAGATCATTAAGGGAACATTTAAGGATCACCTTGTTAGCTGGGTGGAGGACTACATCCATCTAACCTATGACAAGAAGGAAGTGAAGAGAATTATGGCAGATATTGATCAACGGTGAGTTTTTATGAAGTCTAACTGTTTCATCATATAAAGCTTGCCTCCCATCATAGCATTGCAGCTGTACCTGCATTCTCTGGTTTACGGCGATTCCCTGAGGGCCGTGGATTCAAGCAATGGACAGGAGATGATTCAAAAGCATTAATGAAGGTTCGTTCTTGCTAGTACTAAATAAACGGTTTCACCAAATGTATATATATATATGTACTAGGTTTATCTTCCTGCAATCATTGACTACGTTCCTCAGGACATGGTACGCGCCATCTGTGCCTTTCTTGAGTTCTGTTATCTCGCAAGGTGCAATGTCCACACAGAGTGGACACTTGAAGCACTCCAGGATGCTCTTGATCACTTTCACCATTATCGAAAAATCTTTGAGACTTCTGGTGTTCGACCTGATGGCATTTCACTCCCTCGGCAGCATTCTCTTTGCCATTATAAATTCTCAATTTGGGAATTTGGCGCTCCAAATGGTTTGTGCTCGTCAATCACTGAATCAAAGCATATCAAAGCTGTCAAGGAGCCTTGGCGACGATCAAGCAGATACAAGGCTCTTGGGCAAATGTTGCGGACAAACCAGAGAATCGACAAGCTTGCAGCTGCTCGCGTTGACTTCACAAATCGTGGGATGCTGAATGGCTCGTGTCTTTCAGAGGCATTACGGAAGCTAGGTAAGCCTATTTATGTCTCTGTTATCAGTTTATTGAGTTATCAACAGTTGCTGTAAATGACAGTCTCAGCGAGAAAGAAGATGTTGAAGCAAATGCTGATCATCTCACAATAAAGCCATCAAATTGTGATGAGCAAAATGATGATGGCACCATTTCTGGACCAACAATTCTTGCATACGTTGACTTGGCTGCCACTATTCGTGAGCAGCGATTAACTTCATTCTGCCATATAGTTCTGCTGACCAATTTATAACAGAGCAGCAACATGCCAGAAGCTTTGCTGAACTTGCTAAGGAGATCAATCAACTGAAACTTCCTGAGCTCATTCGACAGTTTCTTTATGATCAGTTGAATCCAGATAACCCCCGACCTGCATCCGACATTGATATCAATGAATGTCCCACACTCAAGGGAAAGATCTCTGTGCACTACTCTGCCGCTGCGACGTACTATGCTTCTAGTGATCCATGTGGTGTCGGCGGGATGCATCGTGAGCATATTTGAGCAAATCCAGTATGGTGTGGACTTGCTCCACATTTTGATTGTGCCCTCATCAACTGTGACTCGACTCAGGATGGCATGCTGGGAATCGAGGTTGTTCGCATCCATTTATTCTTCTCTTTCAAGCACGAAGGTCACCAATATTCCTGTGCCCTTGTCCATTGGTTCCAACGAATTGACGACCAGCCAAATGAAGATGTCGGCATGTGGGTTGTTCAGCCAGAAATGGATGTGCAACACATACCTTTTATGTCCGTAATCCATCTCAACTCTATAATACATGCCGCACACTTGATCCCCGTGTATGGCGATGCACGTATATCACGAGATATCACAGATGAGAACTCTCTGGACGCATTTCAGGCTTTCTATGTCAACAAGTTTGCTGACCACCATGCATTCGAAATCCTGTCATGATTTGATTCAACATGTGCAGAGAAGGAAGCATATTGGAAGGCCCGCTCTCCTTCAAGTGCATCATCCCATTCATTTGAGATTTCAATTTGAAGCCTGAGTCACATCAGTCTTATGCGGTGAGCACTAATCTCTTATCTCATCACACAAACAAGTCATTAACAGTGTTATAGATCTTCTCCAGGGCTTCAGCGACCTAATCAATGGGAATGTACTTCCACTACCATACTATAAATACGAATGCAGCATCATGTGCATACAGGCTTATTTCAGTCACACTAGCATAGCAGAAAACTTTTTCCAGGCATTGAATGACTCTCAGCTTCCCTTCATAGGGAAGGGCAAGCTCAATCCAATGACAATACACTTTGGTTCACTTAGTGTCCTTGTTCTGCGCAACTCCTTTAATAACTTATGTTACTTACCAAGTATATACATTAGTTGACTTATCGAACTTGACATGCGTGCTCAACTGCCTTATCTAGTGGCTTAACATCATAATTACTATTTTTACTTACTAATACAGACTAAGTAGAGCCAAGAAAGGTCTCAAAATATAATTTAACACTTGATTTCCTTATCGGACTTGACATGCGTGCTCAACTGCCTTATCTGGTGGCTTAATGTCATAATTACTATTTCTACTTACTAATATAGACTAAGTAGAGCCAAGAAAGGTCTCAAAATGTAATTTAACACTTGTTTCCCTTATTGGAGTTGACCCCCTTAGATAAGATGCTTAAGCCGATCAAAGTAAATTTAAGGTTTTCCTGATGACAAAACACCGAGGTGATTGAGCATCTCCAGCAGTGGTGGCATCGCCGTGGCTGTGCGGATCATCGGCTGATCTGTCAGCAGCGATGTTGACTGCAGCGATACGAGACTGTCATGACGCGTCCTTGCTGATACAATGCACAGCCACGTACCTTGTCAATAGCGGCAGGATCAAGATAAGCATGCTCCAGATTTGACACCTCATCCAGGTTGAAGTATTCTCCACTGTAGAAGGAATTCAAAGCCTGCAGCGCACGCACGCCATACCCCATCTGTCGCCTCTACAGTCAGCGGACACATCAGAGGATTACCGTCAGGAAGACGAATGCACATTCACATAGTCCGGATGTATCAGCAAAACATCACGTGTCTTGGCCGACTTCAACGTCTTGGAAACACCTTGGCTTGTCTTGGCCTCTTAGCTTCGCCTTGAAGGTCTTACACACCAGACCAGCTAAGTATCCCAATACCTGCCAAGTGCAATCCAATCACTCAAAGTAGCAAAGCCTGACAACACCGCCACATTCAGGTCTCAGTTGAATTATACATGTACAGAAGCCCAACAACAAGATGTGCAGTTCCGGTGAGACAGTGAGCACGGTGGCACAGGAGGACGTGATGACGACGTGTTTGACTGCAGAGCCGTACTCTACAGGACACTCAGCATGCCATTTACCATGGGAGCAATGAGCTCGTCGGGCTCGACGGTATGGAAGTGGAAGGGAGACGCGGTGGCTCGATCGCGATGACGCCCTTAACGGTCTCGTCGAACATGCAACCCAGGTTCAGCATTAAGGCCAAGACAGTGGCACTAAGGCAGAACATATCCTCGACGATGACGATCTCCTGCTTATCACCTTAAGACTCGAACGTCTCATGCAGGCGGAGAGTTCGCGCTTCTTCCTCTTCAAGTTCAGCCCTTTCTCCACCTCGGCAAGCTTCCTCCCTCGCTCATGCACTTCCTGCTTCGTCCTCGACTCTGCCACCTGCAGAGCCTGCCATGCCTCTCCCTGCTTCACAGCGAGCTGGGCACGCTCGTGCTCTGTGACACGCAGCTTCATACGGAGCTCCCGCAGGTCAGCTTGGTCAGAGGTGCCCGCCTTCTTCAACTCATGCACCCGCAATTCCAGGGCATCGTTCTGCTTCTTCAACTTGTCGGCGCGTTCCACATGCTCTGCCGTGGATTTCTGGGCATGTCTCAGCTCGAGCTTGAGGTGTTCTAGGTCGAGATGGTGCCCTCGACACCTGTCTGCTCATTATTTGCTCAACTTGGAGTTGTGCACGGGCTTGACATGGCGAGGACGCGTGGTGACGAAGATCAAGGCCAGTGGGAATATAGCATGGGAAGTGTGCGGTAGTCTGCAGAGGGTAGGAACAGGAGTAGTTGTGCCACCGAGATTCTAGAATGCAATTTTATGGGCATGGTGATCAGCGTATTTATTGACATAGAACACCCGAAATGCATCCAGGGAGTCTGAGAAGCAGAGCCCTTCAGGTATGAAGTCACTACCCATGACTCCGATAAGGTGCACGCTACGTAGCACACAGTCAAGGTGAACGACTCCGGTCGAACGTCGGCCATCTGCATCATATTCGGGCTCAACAATCCACATGCCTGTCTTGTCATCCAGTTCATCAGCCACCGGTGAGAACCATTGCACAATGGCACATGGATAATCCACACCACGCCACCTGAATGAGAAGAATAATCGGACATGAGCAGCATGTAGCCCCCGCATGCCCTCTCGAGATGAATCTGTCTCGATAAAGAGACAATCATACTGAGGTGCACCCAACTTTCATGAAGACGTCGCGCGGATCCATTCACGATGCATACCGCTGACACCAGAAAGGTCGCTGGGTGCATAAAAGGTGGCAACTGCAGAATGATAGACATGCAGGCGATCAAGGTGGGGGCAGGTTCCTCAGGTTGAAGTGGGTGGTTAGGGTGGGATTGATCATATAAGAAGGATGAGACAAGATCGGAGAGATGTGGGATGTCGATGTGCAAACCTAATTCCGTAATGTCGTCTGAGTATCCACGCTCTGTGTGGCATCGATATGACATGAGCATGTCACCAAACAACAAATCTGCACTTACGGTGTCATCGCAGTCGTCACTGAACCCAGTATGTGGGGCCCTTGGATTACACCATTGTCTTGCTCTTCCTCTCTCTCGCTGTCATTCTCGTCATCCTCTGGTGCTTCGACGGCCTCGTCATCTTCGAGGATCTCCAATGCAAGTAGAGCTTCAGAAAGACAGGTACCTTGAAGCATTCCTCATGCAGTGAAGTCGGCACGGGATACAGCTAGGTTGTCAAGATGCTGATTTGTCAGCAACATCTGTCCGAGTGCGTTATACCTGTTTGACCGTCGCCAAGGTTCCTTGATGGCTTTGATGTGCTTAGCTTCAGTGATAGATGAGCAAAGACCATTCGGTGCGCCATAGTTCTAAATGTGTCGCGGATAGTGGTCAAGAGAATGTTGTCGAGGGAGAGAGAAGTCATCGTGGACACCTGTCTCTTGAAATATCACTCGGTATTGGTGAAATTGCTCCAGAGCGTGCTGAACTCATGCAATTGTCTCTTCCGTGTGGACTGAATGGCAAACTAGATAGCAGAACTCGAGGAATGCAGCAATTGCACGCACCATATCCGGAGGGACAAGGCCGGAGATAGCAGGTAAGTAAACCTTGACGAGGTGATAATCAAGAACTAGCATGGAATAAGTGAAAAGCAGACACAGCTTACCTTCATAAGTGTCTTAGAATCATCTCCGGTCCACTGCTTGAAGTCGCATCCCTGTGGGAATCGACGCAGACCAGGGAAAGAAGGGGTCACTGCAATCCTAGTGTCATAATGGAGAAATAAGCCCCAACACGACTGTGAGAAGAGCTGAAGCACCCACCGACGGTCTATCTCATCTAAAACTTCCTTCCCACATTCCTTACCATGTACTAGAGTCAAATACTCACTGACCCATGTCACCAGGTGATCCTTGAACGTCCCCTTGATCACTTGGTGAAGTAGATCACCAGAAAGTAGCTCATGTATGTCGGCTCGGGGAAAGTTGGCCGTGAAAGGCTAGTTGAAGGCAACAGACATGTCAGTCATGAATGCATCTTGTGTAATGATTTACTCACCACAACATCACTGACCAGTCCATATTCATCCCACAATACGCCAAGATCGAATGTCTGAATGAGTTCCTCAGTGTGCTCTCATCCTCGTCGCCCACCTCCCTCGTCTTGATCCAGACAATTTCGGTGTTTCAGACATCTGTCAAGAAGAAGTCATCAACTGAGTACTTTGTGGCAACACAGTACACACTTACGCTGGACACCAGCCTGAAACAATGCATGCGACCAAGACTTGTTCGGGATAGTCAGCGATATAAGGGGCTAGACCGTAGATAACATGCCGAAAATGACCATCGGGACAGCGCGTCACCTCAGGCACTGACATCGCGGGGCGTAGAGTGTCTAGAATTGTTGCCAGACTTGAATGAAAGAGCTGTCATTGGAACTTCCTGAACAGGACACTATCTGAATCCTTATGCTCAGCTGGTGTCAGAAATGGTCAGAAGTAGAATGGTGACAGTAGAAACAAGAACGCACTCTTCGGGATTGCCAAGAATGCGACTACAACTAGGGCATCTCTATGTGCTCAGCGAACATTATTGAAGATGTTGCTGATAGATAGATATAACAGATAATACTCATTCTGACCCGTCGCCACTGACACAGTTGTCTTATCGTTTCCTAGGATCACTGGGACGAACATTGAACTATGTGTAGTCTCATCTGCAGCAATGATGACCTGCGAGCATGGTGGGAATATAAGTACAGTCCAAAAAATGTATAAGGATGACGCATGGCCTGTTTCCATGCCAAATGGCCCGACATAACGTTGGTGTACCTTCGCTGACCTGCGGGCCCCGTAAACTCGCGATAAGGGGCAGCGTTAAACTCATCATTGAAGTCAGGGTTTGCGAGCATAGATTTGATAACAGCGTGAGGATCGTGAAACCACACGTCATAATTGGCCGTCATCCACGATGGCACCTTGCCTTTAGGAAGGGTCCCGGTGTATGCCGCGGTGAATGACTGCCACGGAATTCCACCCTCCGGTGTCACATCGATTGTACAGTACATGTCAGTGTGATCAGCGAAAGGTGGGTCTGCACCATATGGAAGGAGGGATGCGGCCCACAGAGCCATCAAAGTGTTTATCTTTGACTGGGACATCTGGTCACGTTTGAAAAGGAACTCTGCCATCTCGAACTCTACGCGGCTGCTGTACGGTGTCCAATCGTCCATGTAGGCCTTCGTTTATGGAGGGGGAATTGAGCCTTCTACCACGAAGTTACCATTCACATCACAAGGACGGCCTAATTGTGAAAACAATATATCAGACATCACTTTGGCGAGCTGGAAAATGTACCGTTGAGGAGCTCATGTTCAAATATCTGAGGCTCCATCACCTGCCCGTCTCCGTCATCCTCATCAGGACCATCCATTGGAAAGTCTTCATGATCCAAAAACTGTGGACCTGAATTCTGAGGCTCTTCATACTCATACTCGTCCTGTTGCAGTACCGAGTTCAGCACCACATGCTGCTGAGGAAGTGCATGAGCACTGTTGTAGTGCTGAGTGAGTCCAGAGGAGTTACGACACTCCTTGCCGCATGCTGGGCATCGAAGACGTGATGCAATGTGCAATTTGCGAGGGCGCGGAGGCATGGATGCAAGAAACACAGGGGCTCAGAAATAATCATGAATTGTTACACCTGGCTACAGAGGCATCTCGGAGCGTCAGATTTCTGCATAGTCTGATGATCGAGTTGGAGTGGTTGCGTGGCAATAGAAATGAGTGATATGTGGCATGGGAAGTAAGAAAGTCCTGACCTTAGCTTTCCTACTAGTACTTGCCCGGCATGTTCATTTTTGAACCGTAGGCCCACATGGCCTGGCATGGTTCCCCTGTTTCACTCCAGCCCACCCTTTAATTCATATCCACTGATCGTCACCACTTTCATCAGCAATCTCGTCACTAGGAGATAAGGGAACTCACTCAATGCTTCACCACTGCATATAAAACCAGCGCGAATATTGTTGACAGTGTTCTCAACCTTGACGGACATCATTACCCATTAATCACACTCCTTTGAAGTATTGAAAACTCACACTCCTTTTCACTTACCATGTCTTATTCGACTCACTCACGCAAATCCACTGCGACTGCTCAGCCCAACTACCGCATCCTTGCTGGGATCCAGGCCGAGGGACAGAAGCCTCGTCGCACACCCACGGAGGTGGCGAATGATTGTGAGCAGGCTGGGGTGAGGCATCTCGAGATCCAGGTGAAGCAGCATGCACTAGCACAGTGCATTGCGGAGCTTGAGCGAGAGATGAAGAACGAGGATGAGCATTATGCCACAGAGGCAGCCCATTCAGTCATGTTTGTGAACTGGACTCCCATTTACCCTGACATTGTCATGAACTGGACAGCCAGCGGACGTCGGCCCATCGGTCTGTGTAAGGAGCTGTCAGCGATCGGCTCATGGCGATGAAGGGAATGCTGGAGCGATGGGCCCACCGCCATAGGAGTATTTCTGAGCGATCGGCCCACCACCATGATGCTACTATTATACAGGCATGGGCCCACCGCCGCGGTGATAGTTCTGAGCGATGGGCCCACTGCCACGGGGCTATTATACAGTCATCGGCCCACCACCATAGGTAGTGTTCTGAGCGATGGGCCGACCACCATAGGTAGTGTTCTGAGTGATCGGCCCACCGCCATAGGTAGTGTTCTGAGCGATGGGCCGACCTCCATAGGTAGTGTTCTGAGCGATCGGCCCACCACCACGGGGCTATTATACAGCCATCGGCCCACCGCCATAGGTATATTTCTGAGCCCATAAGCATGGGTCGCCTGAAATATCTGACTAGCCTGGGCATAGCTGAGTTATTTGCCTTGCCCTAGGTTGTCAACTGGGCTCGTATCGTGTCCGTGTTGTCTTGGTGAAGCATGGGTGGGTGAAGGAACATATCAGATGATTCGTCAGGGAGTAGCATAGGTGGATGTATGAAACATGGAGATTGGTCGGGGGGAAGCATGGGCAGATGTATGAAACGTGGAGATTGGTCAGGGGGAAGCATGGGCGGATGCCACACCTGGTTGCCCGAGCCAAGAAGTAGACCATACGAAGTGAACGGATTGTACCCGAAGTCAACCGAAGAGCACGAAGTAGACGAGGATGCGGACATGTGCAAATCAGCGTACGAGCCGAAGGACACCACAGAAGAAGGGGGCTCCGACGCCAAGTCGTTGCTCATGCGGCACCTCTTGCTCAGACCTATCGGCCCACCGCCATAGGTGTAGTTCTCAGCGATCAGTCAACCGCCATGGGCATATTTTTCAGTGATTGATCCACCGCCTAACAGGGCAATGATGGAGCTACCGCCGGCCAATAATTTCCACGTAATCCACCCATCATTCCCTCCAATTCTGGTTAGCTCACTATCAGCTCTCCTTGCAGTATCACACTCTCTCCCACTGTGGGAAGGGTTGGCGAACTGTGGCGAATATCCTTCGCCATCTGAACATGGAGTTCAGAATGACTTCGCCAAACTCTCCCAATTGGCATCGGCATTTCGAGACATGCATCAGATACAATTTGGGATGTGCCCTTCTGGGTAGAGTATGTGGAGACGAATGGCGGTCCTTTCCACCGTGAGTAGGGTTGGCGAACTGTGGTGGATATCACTCGCCATCTGAACATGCAGTCCAGAATGACTTCGCCAAACTCTCCCATGTGGCATTGGCTTTCGAGCCATGCATCAGATACCATTGGGGATGTGCCCTCCTGAGGAGAGTATGTGGCTACTATGTTTCGCCTTACCACACCAGGTACATTGCCCAGGTTCAAAGACATGACAACCTTATATTCGACACACTACAGCACGAACGGACGCCTGGCATTGGGCGATTACATTCCTAACTCACGCAGCTGCCGCGTCGCCTCCTGCAGCTCTTCCAGCACCACATCCAGGTTCTGATCTGTCCTCTCGTGCAACCAACTAGTGAGGTTCGCGACGTGAACATGCAGCTGTTCAAGCTGCACCAGTGTAGACTCGGAGACGGTGTACACCTTCTCCTATGTTCTCGAGGTTCAGCAAGACTGTAAGGTGCTGGAACGTACCACTCACCCAGGGATCACCAAGTTTGTACCACCAGGCCTCCATAGGGCTCCCCGCCAGCCCAACCTGACGATCCCATTTCCACCAGTAGTCGGGTGAATCCTCGAGTAGGTTCTTAGGATGAGGAACAAGGGTGGTGGGGCGTGGAATCGCCTTGACGTCAATGCTGATGGGGCGCAGAACTTCGCGATTGAAAGTGCAGATGGTAAGGACACTGGCGATAACTCCGCCATGGTCAATATGGTCAGCATGACCCGCCAACGCGAGGTCGCCACAGATACCCCTGACGGCGAACTGCACAGGACTCAGCAGGGTCAGGCGATATCAGCAAGAAAGGCGTACCATCTCCCGGCGCAAGCCTTCCTCCCAATGGACCTTGGTGAAGTGATCTGGGTCAGGCTCCAGTGCCAGAACAGCTTCTTGGATCCTCCAAGTGTAGACTTCCAACTGCAACCTCCCTCTGGAGAACAGGCAGGGGCGCGCATCTGATGTTGAAGACTGGGCAGACATGATGGTGAGTGGATGAGCTGAGGTTGATATCTGATCGACCTTATCTGATGTCTGATGTCATGCGATTGGAGAGCACATGCCGAGATGAAGCCCTCAGGTGAGGATGGAGGTCACTTCGCCAAATGTGATATTGGTGAGTAGGAATTACATACATGACGATCACTACATCGATATAGCAAACATGAATATGCGTACACCCCAGTGAACCCTGACTCAAAGCGCATTTTCATCGCCCGCCCTTTCATCCTCAATGTCCAGGGCGAGGATGTGGCTGAAGGCGTCAGTGGCGTGGCTGGTGAAGGTCCGCCACATACTCACTTGCCTGGCGGCATAGCAAACATGACCCTGCCAGGAAGGATCCGTCATCTCGAGCCAGTGAGCCCATCGTTCCACATTCCGCTTGAAGGTGGCTATGGTCCAGGCCATTTCTGAGTGGACCAAGACACGCTCCTCCCTCCATCTCTCATATCGAGCTCTGGCACGCAGCCAATTCACTCTATAGACTGGAGGGTAAATTAGCAGGAGGCCTAGAGATTGATCAGACAATTACGAACACTCGTCCATCCATTCTGATGAACCTCAATCTCCAGCGACATCCATGGTCCAGAACCAAGCCAGGTTGACGTTCCTGAGCCTGGAGGTGCTAGCCTCGATGACGGCAGTCTTCACGTGCAGGTCCTTCTTATCCAAAGGGCGATAGAGGGCCAAGTCTTCATCGGTGGCGTCCAAGCGCATAATGGCGCGTCAGTTGGCGGAATAGAGCCTGGCGCAGGCCAAGACGGTCTGATCGGCAGCATGAACCTCCGCCTGTGCATGGGTCATGGTTCCGATGCTGTTGGCGGGACGAACCCTCTTGCGGTAGAGGTAAGACTTCAGTCCAAGCACCATGCGAAGCTCGTGGAGGATGTCATTCATCAGGCCTTTGCGCAACTCCAACTCTTGGGCCGCCAGGGTCTGGAGCCCGTTGGCGACAGCGGCCACGAATCTGATCTGCGAAGGTAAATTCAAGGAAGCTTGCTCGGGTGGAATCGCATCCTCGCCATACTCAGCGTCCTCCGGGTGTATTTGAAAAGGATTCTCATCCAAGGAATCTCAGAGCGCACCATCATCACAATCTTCCATGGCGGGAACGTCCTCCAACCTTCCCATGAACTTCTCAGAGCGACGTTGGAATGTGAGAATGCTGACTTCGAGGTGCTGATGGCGCTCGAGAGTCTTGAGGTCCTCCGCCACGCTCGGATTTTGACCCGCCTTGCGGATATCATTCGCAAGCTTAAGCCTGAAGGCCGTCAGAGCTGTATTTTTGTTAAGATGAGGCAAACTCACTGTGCTTCTTGAATTTTGAGGCCAGTCGACAACCATCCGGCGGTGCCCTTCTCCAAGCCCTTGGCGGACTCCTCACCCGCCAGTCTGAGTTGGGTGAGGTCTTTACCCGGGGCTTGCATTCATGTCAACTACATGCCACATGACGATGGAAGGATACTCACCCTTCCTGAGCTGGACATCGAAGGTGTCCATAATCTTCGGATCATTTTGGCGAGCCTCCATAGCGTCGTCGTACTCCTTCTGCCATGCCTCAAGGACCTCCTCATCTGTGGATGCAGATAAAGCTTCAAAGGACTCCTTGCTTCTTGGGAAGCCCAGGAGCACGCGTTTCCACTTTGTCATCAAGGTTAGCACTGTAGGCAGCATAAGGCAGGTGGCAAATAGGGAAGGAGGAATCAGGCTCACCCATGCGAGTCGTCTTCTTCCAGTTGGAGTCATTCATGTGATCGTCAAGGACTTCTTGGCGGTGAGCTCGGGTCATGCCCCTGGTACTGCCTGAGACCTCATTTGTGGGTGCTCACAGGGTCTCGATGACCTCGCCATCGACCATACCAGCGCCAACTATAAAGTTGGGCGAGAACCATTGGAAGCAGCAATCTTGGTGTCCGTGCACATGAAACAAGCCGATGCCTTGGTCTATCTTGAGCTCGAAGGGCATCCTCAGATAGGCGCTGTGGCGGAAACGTTTGCGGACATGGACGCCATACTGGCACATGATGTCGTACATGACGAGGACGAGGGTGATACCGGTGAGGGTCAGGAGCGCATTGCTGAGAGAGTAATCCATATTCATTTGTCTGCAGAGGGTGCATCGGTGAGAATGAATTATGACAAGAGACATATGCGAACCTTTCTCCCTTCTGGAAATCGACGACAGTATGAGGGACGAAGAAACCATGTCTGGTGCAAGCAGTGGCCCCGATTCCTGTGGCGTCAAGGTTGGCGCGATCCACATTGGCCTGATTGACAGCGCGGTGCTCATGACAAGTGGAGCGCTGGTGGGCTTAGGAGTCAAGGGCGGAAGAAGAACGTGCAGCCAGACACGCACCTGATGCGACTCCATGGCCACCGCCAGATGAGCCTTGTAATCCTCTTGGCCGACCATGAATGCCTGGCCGTTACTAAGGGCGACGTCCTCCTCGGGGTGCTTCATCTTCATGTGCTCTGCACTGAAATTGCCATCCATGACAAAGCCGTGTTTGAACTTCCACTGCACTGGATCCGCTTGCCAATCGAAAGGCAGGTTGAGCCCAGGCTGGGGACAGGCGGGACAAAAGATGGCGAGGCCACCCTTCTCCACAGGACGGAGGGCATCGTGTGAGAAGCCGTGCCACTTGCGATATTTGAGTTGGCGCCATTGGCGGGACACCCGCATCAGCTCACGATAACGGTCCTGGCGAGGAACTGGCATGAACGGTTGGGCCATGGGAATGCATGTGAACACTTACGGGAATGGTGCCAGGGAAGGCATTGCTCGTGACCCATTTGAGCTTGCTGTAGTAGTTCAATGCCGCCGTCTTGCACTCTTTGTTCTCCAGAAGGAAATCGTCGAGGACGGCGAATGTGAAGGCGGTATGGGGATCCTTGACGGTACCAGGGTAAAGTCCCATTTGAAGAAGCTGCATGTCACACTCCACTGCCATCTCACACTGGCACCAGTCAACGCCGATATGGTGAACACCAGAGATGTCGACAATGACTATGATCCAATTCCCATAACTATCACGGCGAGGTGGCCGGGAGAGCACTGGTGGCACATCTTCCTCCCAAGTGGGATCGGGAGCATCGTCGGTTTGCCTTGCTTCACCGTCAAGGGTGCCTGCCAGAGGTGCAAAGTTGAATGGGACCTCGCCATCATCTGAGACCTCGCCATCATGTGCATTTAGGTCTTCATTGGAGGCATTCCAGAAATCGGACCCCGGGGCCACCACCGGCGCAGGGTTGTTATGTGCTGTGAAGGCGCCCAGAGGGCAGGGATCTCCACCATGCCCCAAATGGATGCAGACGCCAACCCAATACAGTGATGCTGGCTCAAAATACTGACCCTGCCAATGCTCTATCCGATGGAAAGGAGCACGCTGATGGCCGTTACGACAGCAGTCAGTACAGGTGAGCGGTCTGCCCATACAGTCCAGGCATCGCCACCGTCCCTCGCCAACCTTGCATTCCGCACAGTTTCTGGGCTCAGGCGGGGCTTCCATCTCGACAATGGCATGAAGATAGTCATCACGGTGGGGTATCCAGTCCCTCATGAAGTCATTCTGGGTCTATCGCGCATGGTCAGACCGTCAGATGGTCATGGCGGGAGTGCCCACCTTTGTCTTCTGAGCTGCCGGATCCAGCTGAATCGGCACACCTATGTTGCCCAGGACGTCGCCATCATCCAAGTTAAACAAGGAGCCTGAAGCTGGAGCCTTCGATGGACTTTTGGAAGGCGATGGCATGTTTGAACCCGTGGGCATGGGCAAAGGTACGTCCACATAGCGTACTCCCCTAGTGGTCTGCTTAGCTACCTTGGTCACAAACTCAACCTCGTCATCCAGGTCTACAACGAGCCTGCTTTTGTTGCGTCTGCTCATGGTTCAGGTCAGTGGGGAGTCGTATTCCAAGCCAATCGATGAGCATTGTGTCCCTATCGCACAACACGTGCAAATCACACACGGTCTTGCTGCCCACCAGACTACTCATCAAGGTGGTTAAGAATGGCTGCAATGCCTGGGCCTTATCACCTCGTGGTCTCTTTAGGCACCATATCAGTGTTATGCAGATAAGGATGCCATATTGGCGAGAGGTCTGCCAATTGTATGTCGCTCTCGGTGCTAACTTTGCCTTGACTCGGAGTAGCATAATACTCAAAAGGGAAACGTGCACTTGCACCGCGCGCTCGCCAATGCTGCCGCCATCTGCCCCACTAGCACTCACAACTTCTCAACCGAACACATTTCGCCACCATCTCCGCCAACTTCGAGGTCCGCCAACCATATGCTGCCATCAGTGATAACTACACCTTGAGCTGAACACTGTCGAGATGTGAAATGCGCACTCATACCGCGCGCTCGCCAACCTTCAGCTAGGATTCGGAAATTCGAGACTCCATACATTTCGCCATCACCTCCGCCAACTTTATCCCGCCAATGAAGCTGCCATCGACAGTCTCCATCCCCTGCATAGTGTTCTCGTCTCCATCAGTCTTTGGCATGATGTCCCTCTAATAAGCGAGCCAGTTAGGACCTGTTCTGAGTTAGGAATGCAGACTCGGTGATGAACTGTGCACATGCCAATGTGTGAGGCGTAATATGAAGCTTGCATCCAGTGGGGCGCCGGAATGCCTAGCCTGTTCTGGACACCCTCTCGCATGAAGTATGCATAGACGAGCCTTTCGCCATCTGCTCGAGTGACGCCATGACGAATCGCCTTTCCACAGAAGGCTATGACAGTTCCAGGACTATAATCAATGGCGACACGCATGGTGGGGAACTTCAACCACGCGCAAGTGTAGTTGCCCAACGTCGCCAACAGGTCGTAGAAGGTGTATCTTGTCTTGCTATCTCGGTGGAAAGGAGTTTCCCGGTTGGCGATCACCTGGAGCGCATTGAATGGCGACGACCAGTTCAGCGCCATCTCTCGCAATTCTGGGTCTTGCTGGATCAAACCCAAGCACTGGCATCCTGCGGCATATAGTGTTGGGTGAACGACGGCCAGGATGGCGCCCAGCAATGCGGAGGAGTCATGAATATCACGCAGCCAACTTCTTCCGCCCTCAAGCTTCAGGCTGGCGGAGGTCTCCAGCCTCCCAGACTCCATATGCTGCAAAGGCTGTCCAGATGCAAGGCAAATGGCATGGCGAGGAGACCCACCTCTCTTACTTGTTAGAACCAACCTGGCGAGAGACACAAGGAGCCCGCTGGGAATTGGGCACACTCCTCAGGAGGCAAGAAGTACAACGGGTTGTGTCGCCAACTGGCGGTGGTGCTGGAAGGCTTACTGGCTGCTATTGCTGGGTGTAGGGCCCTGGTCACTTGGAGCATCTTCGTCTGACAAATTTGTCAGATCACAGCGCAAGGCTGGGCAAGCCACTCACCTGGCGGTCTGGTATCAACACTCTTAGAAGTATCTAAGCCAAGATGCGTCTGTGCATGTCCACGAGGGTGGCGGGCTGGTCTATGCGTATTTCGCTCTCACCAAATGGAGAAGGCCACTTCCATTCCAGTTCTGCCTCGAGGACTTCATTCTGCCCCGTGGGCTGAATTGAAAGGCTGTCACAATATCTATCAATGTCCCACTGCAGCCTTACTATTACAATGGCGTGATCAGTGTGATCAGACCTGCGGCAAGACTAATGACTACCAGGATTACGGATGGCCTTCACAAGAGCATCTGCAATGCCATTGCACTCCAATAGGAGGGTGGATGGCATGGATGGAGGCACTTCTATAGATGGCGCAGAATGGGCTGCATGAGCGGCCAGATGGAGCTTTCGGCGGAACATGAGCTCCAAGACTCCTGCTATCTGATCGGTCAGTGGCATGGGTGACAGATTGCTCATCTTGATACTGTCTGCCAATCAATGGGACGATTACAGCATGCATCGGTTGAAGGAACGCACAGGTGTATGGCGGGCTCAGGCGGTTGGCTTGCAGATGCAGGGAAGAATGTAGGAGGGGCCAGAATGGCAAAGAACAGTATGCATTCATCTGCCTGCATATTGCTTGCAAGCACGTCCCTTGCACATCTCACATGTTCATCATGCCGCCGAGCCGGACTTGATGCCGCCATGCCGGATCACGGGCCGGGTGGTCCGCCATGTCTGGGCCCTTCGTCACCGCCATCTAATTGGCCGAGCCTAACTCCGAGGAAGCCCTTTATCCCACAGATTGGCATGCAGATGATCGCCAGATTGCCTCCGCCCAGCATTCGCGAGATGAAGTTGGCGTGGTGTGCTCTGCCATAGAAGCGGCATTCAACATTACCTTTCACCAGGCATGAATGCTAGTGCATACCTACTACCACCTCCCGCCACTGCGAAAAATACACATACAATGCTTCAGCAGTCACCACACACCATGGCGAGGAGGGTAATTGGTGTAAGCCCAAATGGGCCATCAGCACGTGCATGTTGAGTTGTGGGCGGCCGACGAGGAAATGGACAGAGCGCTGCCCGTTGAACTATCGACCCCCTTCACTGCCCCAACACAAAAATCTCATCCTCGACATCGAGAAAGCATGCCGGCGAGATTTGTAATTTTGACGGAGCATCAGCCCATACTCTCTGAGAAGCTGCGGTCTTATGACACGGCAGATGCCAAGGGACGCAAGACTCTGGTTCAGAGCTTGCGCCAGAAGCTGAAGACACAGTTTGTCGACACGTCAAATTATGACGACATCATTGTGGAAACTGTGAGCAGTGTTTCATGTCTGTGAGGTCCCCACTAACTCTCACCGCAGAAAATCCGAGAGTGGCTCAATAACCACGCCCGCCATGCGCAGGAGAAAGCGACGAAAAAGCGTATGCATGTTTCTGGCAAGCCCAATGCCTTCAAGGTGTGGGATGCGCTGGAGAGGGACAAGGTGACTGAGGCCGCACGAGCACTCGCGACAGATAAGGGTTGCAATGTCTCCAAGGTGTGGAGAGTCGCACGGAGTGCCGAATGGGCAAAACTGTCCGAGGAGGAGCAGAAGGTGTATGAGGAAAAGGCGGAAAGTTGGCGCAATGGCACTCTGGATGATAAGACGAAAATGAAGTGCGTACCTCCTGTCACGTAGCATAAGGCAAATCCTGACCTAAGACAGGCTGAGGGAGCAGCGAATGATGCAATATCTGAAGAAGTTTGCCAAGACTATGTGGGACACCATGGGCATTCGCATGGCATTCATGCTAGCATATCCGAAGGAAGCGGGGAGTCTGAAGGTAGAGATGTGAGCGTAGACCGTCCGACTGTCGCCATCTGCTAACCCCCGAGTGAAGGGTGGAGGTCAACCACGCCATCACCAATGGAACTCCATTCGGGGCCTATCCTGGGTGGCTGCGTGCTTACCAGCCTCTAGCAAAGGTGTTCTCTGAGTGGGCCAAAGGCGAATACGGTAAGAAGACCTCAGTTGCATTGTCGCTGGCACACTGACCTGATTCCTTAGGTGTGACTGAGACTACGGTGACGGTGAAGAAGACACCTGCCAATTGCATGCGGGCCATGGACAAGATTCAGTTGACGGCCAACGGTTTTCCTCTGCTCCCGTCGGTGCCCGAAGGTATGGCGGAAGCGCCTCTCAAGGTGATGAAGGTACAAGTTCGAGACTTCATGAATCATCACTACGGTATGACACTCCCACTCGATGTTGAGAGATGCTGACCAGTTTACAGCATTGGCGAAGGGTGTTCGGAACTGCAAGTCGCCATGGACAAAGCTGAACAGCATAGACGACATCAATGAGGTTATTCCAGCGGAGATGCTACCTGAGAACTTCCAGTGGATCGATCCCTCAAAGATGACAAGTGTTCCCGTTCGTGCCCTCCTCGACCACTGGCGGGCACGCCAAGAGGAACATGGACCTGAGCAGACCATGCGATTCACCCAGTACTTCGACAAGGATGGCGAAGCTGCTCCCGCCAAGTATGATCCTCTTCCACCACTTGACGGATCAGCACAGGCATTAGAAGAAGGATCTGAACATGAGGTCCAAGAAGCACTCACACCAAAGAAGGCGGGGAAGGCGAAGAAGAAGGGTAAACCTGTGCGCAAGGTCACGGGAAAGGCGGCATCGAAGGCGACAAAGGGCAAAGCGGCCCCTGGCGGAGCCAAAGGTGGTGGGCGTAAACGCAAGACGAAAGATGCATACGACTCGGAAGATGATGCCAGAAGCAGCCAAGACTCTGATCGGAGTTCGCCAGATATACCCAGCATGGCTTCCGAAGAAGATACGGCCAGCGATGAAGATTCAGGGGATGGCGAGAGCGTGATTGCGAATAAAGCGAAGGGCAAGGCAGTCGCCACCACCAATGGACGTAAGGCTAACAATGGCGGTGCACCTCAAGCGAGTGGTAGCGGCGGTGCCAAGACGAAGGCAAAGCGAGGTCTCCAAGACCTTCCTCTGGGCGAACTGCACAGATTTGACACAGAGGAGACCGATGAAGCATGGAGTGAACTGGAGCCCAGTACAAAGGAGCTCAGGCTTGAGCTTCAAGGCCGAGCCCCACGTCTCACTGGCGGGAGTACTGTGGGGAGTACTGTGCCCCACCTTGTCAAAAGGAGAGACGTGTTTCTCGCCACCCTTTCCGTCGAACCGCGATACCAGGATATGCTGAAGCAAGTCAAGATTGCAACTGTGGTGAGCTCCTTTCGTGGGGATTCATATACACTATTGATCATCCGTCATATAGCCCCAGGTGTATCGTTTCGCCAGGTATGATCCGATTCCCTGGAGCGAATGGTCGTATGGCCAGCGCTACCTCCCGCCGTCATTTCATGCGGTGGACAACTTTGACATCGTCGAGAACTGGTTGGGCGACAAACCATGGCTGACAAAATATCGGTTCTTACATCCACAGGGCGTACAACAATCTGCACTCGTGATTGGTATGGTGCTGAGGGACCTCACATGATCTCAGTTCATTGAGGAGGGCGAACCGACCAACCTTCCTGACTATGTGGTGAACTCGGCGATCTCATTTGACACAGTAGAGCAGCTGCTTCGCTGTTGCAAGATCATTACCTTGGACATGGTGGAAGGGAACGTCACCCATGCCATGGTGAAGCCAGTGAGCAAGCCTGCCATACGCAGTGCCCCACAAGGTGGCGATGGCCTTGGGGGCCAGGAGGAGCAGGAAGGTGATGCCTCTGCAAGAACTCACGATGGTGCTGCTACTGCTGCCAAAGTTCACAAGGCTCACCAGCCTGCCCCCATGGCTGACAAACCAATCATTCCAAGTGGAGGAGATGAAGGGCCGAGCCAGGAGACCAGTGGTGGGGCCTCTGACGATGGCGAAGAGGACGATGCACACTTGTCCATACCTAGCAGTGGTGCTGAATGACCATCACCGCCTCCGTTTATACCTAAGACGAGGAAGGCCGCAGCCACGGAAGACCGTCCGTCAGGTCAAGCCAAAGCGCTCCAGGGAAGGTCGATCACCAATGCCCTTCAGAGTAATATCCCCGGCAGGATCACTCGCAGTCAGCATCAAGCGATGGATGAGTCGCCCGCCAAGAATACCCGCAGTCAGCATCCACTAGGAGCTGTGAAGGATTTGAAGAAGCTTCCTGATCCAAAGCGGAAACGTCAACCAGCACGTCCCGAGCCCGATGGCGAAGACAGCTCTGGCGAAGACAATCCGCCACCTCGGAAGCGTGGACGTGGTACTCGGGACGAGTTAGTAGTGGCCTCGCCGAGGAAGAAGAATGCGAGGGCCGAGGACTCGGATGATGGTGACAAGCCTCCCGCAAAGCGAAGACGAGCTCTGCCTCAGACCCCGGAGGTCAAGGACAAGGGAGAAACCAAGCTGAAGCCGGTCCGTCTGGGGAAAGCAGCCACCAAAGTGAAAGAGAGTGGCCAAGTTGGTGCAGGTCGCAAGACCCGCAGTGGCGGCACCAGACCTTGACAATATAACTCCAGTTCAAAGTAGACTCGTAGGCTTCCACATTGTTTAATGTGACCCATAGATCTACATAGGTAAAGCCATGGAGATGGTGGCAATGGCGAGGGGAGTTGGCGAGAACTTCAGCAGGCATTCAGTTGACTTGGAGTGGCAGTGGCGAATCGAGTGCATGGAGATTCCATGCTAGGTTAAAAAGCATGTATATCAATACTCTAAT